GCTGGGATGTGTCCAGGCCAGGTTGGATGGGACTTGGAGCAACCTGGGCTAGTGGAAGGTGTCCCTGCCCCTGGCACGGGGTGGGATGAGATGGGCTTTGGGGTCCTTTCCAAACCAAACCATTCTGGTATTCCATAGTTTCACGTCTGCAAACTCCCACCCCAATCCCCCCTGGCTCCTGGCCACAAAAACCTCTTTGTCTACAAGTTATTCAGTGTATAGAAAAATGATTTATCAGGCTCCACATTTTTAACTGATGAAACACAATCTCCCTCCGTCTCAACAAACAGGAGTTGCCTAAGCCAGGAAATAACTCAACAAACAAACAAATTGTTACTATTTACAGAGAAAAAGCTGAAAAGACAGTCCAGCAGGTCTGCACTTGTTAAAATCAACAGCACCCTGCCACAGGCCCTGCCCTGCCTGGCTGCAGCAGAGACAGCTTTGGATCCTTCGGGATGATGCCTTTCCCATCTGCATTACAAAGGATTTCTGCAATGATATTTTCCTTTTAACTTTAACATCATTTCAACCTTAGGCTGCTTCTCCCCAGATCTAATTGAAAATAAAACCTTTTTTTCCTAGCTTTCCTGGGATAACAGGTGTACAAATCATGAAAACCTGGAGAAAGTGGAAAGGGAACAACTCTCCCCAAGTCCCAGAACACACAGCTGAGGGTACTGTGTGCCATCACCCAGAAGCAAGTTTACAACACACAAAAGGAAGTATTTTTTTTTCCACATAGCACATTCCTAAAGCCTCAGGAAACTATGGAGACCAAAGGAACACACCAGTTGAAAAGGAGATGGGACAGATTCCCAACAGTCTGCAAAGGTCTGCTAAGCATGGAGCAGTGGGCACAGCCTTTGGCTCTGGAATCCTTGCCCAGAGGCTGGCTGTGTGAAAGGAAATCTCACTCCCTCCTTCTCCTGAGTGTCTCCTCATTTCTGCATGTTTGATACACCTGGACTGTGACTCACTGCAGATGTTCCTGTGCTTTTACCCCATCAGGACAATAAACCCAAAGGCTGAATGAGTGACCCATTTCTGTGTGAGGATGAGCTCTCTGAGAGGGCAGGAAAGCATCAGCAAAGACAAAGTGTTGCCATGGCTCACAGGTGCTGGTTCTGCCCTTGATTCCACGTGTGAATACCTAATCCTGCACAGCCCCTGGCATCCAATCCAAAGGTGGATTCACCTGCACATCAGGCTCCGACCCTGTGGATCCTACACAACCAGGGGCTCAGAAAGGGTGTTTGAAGGAGGAGCTGGGGCAGATTTATTGAGCTGGGAGCTGGGAGAGCTGCACCCCATGGCTGTCCTGGAGCACTCGGTGCCCATGTGCTTTACACCAGCTCCAACAGTTCTGGGGGGATGTCCTGGGCACAGAGGAGTCTGTGACACACACTACAGGCAGAGCTGTGCCCACAACAACCAGCATGGAGCCAGCTCTGTGTGGGACAACCCCTGTGCCAATTAATCCCTCCGGGCAGGGCACAGCCCTGACCGTGCTGATGCTCCTGCAGGCACCTGCTCCTTGCCACATCTCAGCTCCACCTGCACCGACCCTCCCAGCACGGGCTGGGGAGGAGGCCCTGGCATGGGTGGGTCGGACATTCCCTGGCACAGGCTTTCTCCCAGAGGAACTGACTGTCTTGCTGCTCCCTCACCCTCGGCCCATTGCTGCCCATCTCACGACACCTCATCTCCTCATGGGTGCCCTAATGCCGTGTCCCCTCATGGATGGCCTCACTCCCCGGACACTCATGACACCCCATCCCCTCACAGCTCCCCTCAGC